GCCCATCACACTTCTTAGTGCACACCAACGCTCAGAGAGCCCTGATGACTGTCCCACAGACAGGCTGGGCTCATCCCCACGTGGTGTGTACTAACAACTAGTAAGGAAAAGAGCTCTGAGCACAGCACATGCTGAGAGTGCCACGTGCAGTGTCCCATTTCATTCTCATACAAGCAAGTTGAGATGGTTACTATCATTGTCCCACTTTATAGGGGAAACAGAGACAGAGAGCCTCCACCCAGCTTACCTAAGTTCATGTAGTTAGTAAAGCCTTTTACTAACAAGTAAACAAGTCTTTTACTAGCAAGCCTTTTCACACAGGACTCGATGTTCAAAATCAGGCTCACAACCCCGCATTCCATTCCCTGCAGTTCATAGCGTTCCTTTCCCCATTACCTTCCCTTTCAGCGCAAGCCTGTTCCTCTTTTGGGTTCCCAAATGTTCAAGATCCTCATCAGTGTTCCCTGCAGCTACCTTCAGGAAAAGAGCTCCCACCCATCTCTTCTGGGTTACTTGAGAAATCTCTCTATAGTGTGCAACTGTCATCCAAATGTGTCCTCTCTTGCCTGATATATGCAGTGCTTCTCCAACAAAGCTATAAACTCTTTAGGGAAAACAAGCATGTCTTCGTTTCCCATAGCAGGGCCTGTAGGTAGACACTCAGCACATACTTGGTGATGGATTGATTCAGGTCCAAGTCCAGCACCATTTATTTACTTAGTATCTATAGCACCAGGTGTCAGACTGCGGATACGGAGATGAAAGACATTCCCTGTATCAAAGAACTTCAAATTCCAGTGGAGCAAGTCAATTAGCCAACAGTTACGATGCAATGTGATGAGTATTACCAAGGGGGGCCCAGATGAGGAGAGTCCTCTGGGAAGGGCTCAGTGAGAAGCTCACTTCCAAACTAGGCCAGCCTTTTGTTCTTTTTTTCTAGAAACAGAGTCTTGCTGTGCTGCCCAGGCTGAAGTACAGTGGCATGATCATAGCTCACTGCAGTCTTGAACTCCTGGGCTCAAGTGATCCTCTTGCCTTAGCTTCCCAAGTAGCTGGGACTATAGGTGTGCACCACCACACCCAGCTAATTAAAGAAATTTTTTTTGTAGAGGCAGAGTTTCACTATGTTGCCCAGGCTAGTCTCAAACTTCTGGGCTCAAGCAATCCTTCCACCTTGGCCTCCCAAAGCTCTGTGGTTATAGGCATAAGCCACCGTGCAGATGAGAGGAAACCAGAGTTCACCAGGAGGAGGATGGGGAAGGCTAGGGCCCAGCACACAGCGCATGTTCTGAAGCCCAGTGCATGTCCTGCCGTATTTGACCACATCTTCCTCAGTGTGACTTTCAACTACATTTAAGATCTAATTCTGCTTTCTTTCTATTATATTCATGAAAGTGTGGGGCCTGTTACTCAAGTGCAGGGCTAGCAGTGATGAGAAGAATGCACAGAACACAGGTGCCCATGGCTGCAGGTAGAGGGGGTGATTTGGCTATTCTTTCAAAGTGGGGAGAGAAGGTTATGGAACCCATTGTGGAGCCAGGGATGCCACTCTCCACCCCTGTGCCTCACCACGGTCACACAGCCTCTCCCACCTCTCCCCTTACACATGCAGATGCGGGTAGAGCTCATTGTCCCTCTTCTCATCACCCTTTCTACTCCTGGCGCAGAGCTCGCGACAGGTGCAAGAGAGCCTCATCCACTGTCCCACACCAAGGGTGACTGTGGGCTGTGTCTGGCTTCCGTGGCATAGTGGAAAAGAGACTTACAGGCAATGCTTCTTCAACAAAACACTTTGTTGGAACGTTCTGATTTTCTCTGATTAGTTGTTGTCCTACCTAGGCCCTTAGCCTTGCTGACAATTTGTTGTTAAAACCACACTTGGACAGAGGAAGCTTGAAGAAGCTGCAGTGGAAGATTGACAGACAGACCTCTTTTAAAAAATATTCCATGGACTTGACTCAGCTAGAATATTCTAGTCCTTCCTTCTTGAAAAACACATATACACTCCTCCATTCCACACCTACACACACACACACACACACACACACACACACACACACACACACGAGTAGGAAAAAGGAAGGAGAGCTGCTCAAATTTATTGGACTTAATTCAGTAGAATTAACTTGAATTCCACTTACCTAACTGAATTGAATAGGACAACATAGTTTTCTTTTTCTTGCAGGGAAAAGAGACATACAGGAAGCTGGGAAGGACTCTTAAAGTCATAGCCGCTGCATTCCATCCCCGCATGTTCAACATTCAGACTGTGAGTCCACGTAGCTCATCGAATTCTAGGCCAGGGAATCAGTCTGTAATGACCCCACACAGTTCCATGCCCAAGTCAGAGCCGCAGTAGAATGTTCTGTCTCATGCCCACTTATGGACACATTTCAAGGGTAATAATGCATCATCGAATAATAAGCCACTGGAAAATTCAGGTCAACATCTAAGAAGGCTTGTATGACCCATCCTTTACATGAATACATCTTTTTTCCTCAAGACAGATGTGAAACATGAATTATACTCCGTTAATGTAAAATTCACTTGTGCTCAATTCAGGCTTTTAAGATTTCTGGATTTAAGAATGAAGAAGCACAGATTGGGTACATGGGTGTCAGTTTAAGTGATGGCTCAGGTGGATGGGCAGGGGCTGTCTGGAGCACTGCGCGGCTGTGGGGCTTAGGAGCAAGTCTGGACTTGAAAGGAAATGGGGTGTCACATTCAGTCAGTGACAGTGCCTCCTGGAGCTCCAGAGGGCAGGGGATGCTGGTATCTTGTACTCACCAGTCCTGGCAGAACAGCTGAGAGTAAAGGTGTATATGTTGTGTGTGTTTACCTGTGTGCGTGTATGTGTGAGATAGTCTGTGTTTGTGTGGGTGTGAGTGTACATGTGAGTCTGTGTATTTGTGTGTGTGTGATGTGTCACTGTGTGTGCAATGTGTCTGAGCATGTGAGTATGTGTGTGTGACAGGATATATGAGTGTGTGAAAGTGTGAATGTGTGTTGTATGTGTATGTCTCTATGTAAATGTGTGAATGTGTGTGTTATGTGTCTGTATGTGAGAGTATGTGAGTGTATGACTGAATTAGTGTGAATGTATGTGAGTGTATGTGTATGGGAGTGTGTTATGTGTGTGTGGGCATGTAAGTATATGAGGCTGTGTATGTGAATTTACATAACACACACATACATTAACACACACACATATATATTCATCATTCCTGTGTGTATGAATATATATGTGTGTGTGTGAATGTATGTGTGTGTTATGTGAATATGTGAGTGTGTCTATATGTGTGAGACTGTGGGAGTGTGAGTGTTAGGAGTGTATGTGAGTGTGAATGTGTAGGAGTGTATGAGTATGAGCGTATGTGTTTGATGTGTCTGTGAGAGGCGTGTATGTGAGTGTGAATGTGTGAGTGCATGTGTGTGAGAGTGTGTTATGTGAGTGTGTGGGTGTGTAAGTATGTGAGTGTAAATGTGTGAGTGCATGTGTGTGAGAATGTGTTGTATGAGTGTGTGGGGGCATGTATGTGAGTGTTAATGTGAGTGCATGTGAGAGTGTGTTGTGTGTGGGGGGCATGTGTGTGTGAGTGTGGATGTGTGTTTCTATTAGAATTCCTGTTTGGGAGGTTCAGTTCTCTGTGTTACACAGCATGTGAGGAGAAAGAACTTCTAGTAATACCAAAGGTACGTATAGAAACGACTTGAAGTCTGTCCCCACACTGTGTGAGCAAAAGTAGTTCCTGATTCCCTTACTGCATGTGCTGAGTGCACACGCCTGTCTTGTGAGCCCTTGTTGGAATCTTTCTGTGCAGAAATGAGGAAGAGCTGGCCAGGGCTCAGCTCATGGAGGAAGCTAGGTGGCGGGGCTCCAGGTTCCACCTCCAGGGCCTCAGGGCCTTTTTTCCTGTGCAAAATTGATGTCAGCTGAGAGACTTTAGCATTTGCCCCTAAGGCTCAGATAGGCCACAGTGATTTTTTTTCCCCTATGAAATTTAAAACAATCAATGCCCAGGGTGGACTTGGGGAAATCCTGTTTGGTATTTCGTCCTGAATGACTTCAAAACAAATCTGCTTTTATCTCTACAACATTCCTTTCAGTTAAGAACGTTGTGGGGCTCTTTACTGCTCAGTCTATTCACAATGATAATTTTTATAGAGACCCTTATTTTTAAAGAAATGCACACTGCCTGTTTACCTAATGGGCCAGACAATGACTAAGGAGCAAATTACATAAAGATCATTACATGGACTTAGCGTGTGCCCTCCGCCCGTGACTCACAGGGCAACTTGTTTGCGTTGCATTTATGAGCAGAGGTGCTTTAAAAAACATTTGATAAAGCAAGAATTGTAAAAGAAGGCCAGTCATCGAAAATTCCTGCCGAAAGATCGATGATGTGACGGCTAGAGACAATGCCGTTGAAGTCAAAAGGTGTGCTGGGGTGCCATGGAGCTTTTCCACAGCCCGACTGCCTCAACAGGGCCTTCGGCCTGCTAGAAGAGCAGATTTCAGGCTGCAACAGAAACCGCCACTTTAAAAATAGCCCGACTTCTGTCAAAGCACCAGCATTTGCAATGGTTATCCTTGGTTGGGAGGCCAGGATGGGGAAGAAACACCCTTTGCGATGCTGAGGAAGCAGCATATAAAAGTGTTCCTGACTTTCATGGGGGATTTGAACAAATGGCTGTTGCTATTTGTTTTTTCTGTTGAGACGGGTCTGCATGCTCTGTTGCCCAGACTGGAGTGCAGTGGCTCACTGTAGCTTCGACTTCCTGGGCTTAGATGATCCTCCCATCTCAGCCTCCCGAGTAGCTTGGACTACAGGCTACATGTCACCATGCCCAGCTAATTTTTTGTACTTTTGTGGAGACAGGGTCTCACCATGTTGCCCAGGCTGTTCTCAAACCCCTGGGCTGAAGCAGTCCTCCTGCCTTGACCTCCCAAAATGCTGGGATTACAGGTGTGAGCCACTGTGCCTGGCCCTACTGATGCTATTCTTTTTAGTTGTGGTAAAATACACATAATATAAAATTTACCATTTAATCATTTTAAGCACACAGTCCAGTGGTGTTAAGCACATTCACACTGTGGGCACCGTCACCACCATCCATCTCCAGCCTTTTTCATCTTATGAAATGGAAACTCTACCCATTGAACAATAACTCCTCCTCCTGTGGCCCTGGCTGTACTTTCTGTCGCTATGGATTTGCCTTCTCTAGTGCCTCCTCTAAGTGGAATCATGTAGCACTCTTCCTTTTTTGGCTGGCTTGTTTCACTGAGCACCGTGTCTTCAAGGTTTATCTGGTGGTAATATGTGCTAGCACTTCCTTCCTTTTAAAGGCTGAATCATATTCTGTTGTGTGGATGGACCACAGTTTGTTTCTATCTGTTAATGGACACTTGGGTTGCCCAGGGGGTAAATTTCTATTCGGTATCTTTCCTCAACAGTTGAATGAGTGTGTGGGGCCATGAGTGGCAGGTGTGCCTGGCAATTTGCAATTCCCGCCCCCCACAACCTTTTTGCTGCCAAGCCTCAGTGGTGTTGGAGCAGCATTACCTTTAGGAATCATACCTGCGGCTTATGTCGAGTTTATCCAACTCCTGGCTCTGTCTTACCTGAAAGACGATTGGCATCACAGGGCTTTGCTGGCAGTGCTGGTTCCAGTGTAAGGTCCGTGGCTTACAAGGAAAGGAAGCTCTTCCTACGTCAGCCAGGAGTGTTGCTCTGTTCTTTCAGCTAGGAAGAGTCCAGGTTGGGATTTCTGGGACCCATACCCCCGCTTCTTCTTCCCCTTCATCCCAGGGAGTGCTTTCCCTCTGCAAAGATCCCATTTCAAATGCTTCTGTGCAAATGAAGTGACTTCATTTGGAATTTCTTTGTGATTAGGAAGATATTTAAATGCTATTTTAACTCTTGACCTCAGGCTAATGTGTAGGAGTGGACTCAGTTAATTCATTAATGCCTATTAATGGAAAGTTCAAATTTACTTTTGAAATACATTGCAATGTGCCTTGTACTAACCTTCCTAATTATTGCTTTTTCCTTATAGACTAAGAGTGAAATTAGCATTTGCATTTTCTAAGTTAATTGGTGGACAGAGGAAGGAAGTCAGTGACATCTTTAGGTATGAGAAAAGTCAGCCTGGGGTTAGGGGGTTTATAAAATTGGGAATGGCCAGAATGGAAAGCCTGTTGGGTTCTGCCTAACCCCTTCCTCCTCCCTGCAGACTTCCCGTATCCAGAGAGCAGCTAGAAAAACAGCCGCCCCCCCCAGAACAGCATTTTTAAGGCGGCTTTCAGGTATTTGGAGAAAGACAAACTGTGATGCAAGATCTGAAAATTTTGTTCCACAAAGTTAGTTTTGTTTTTCTTCCTGGTTCAGGACTCCTCATGCCTCTCATTTATTCACTGGCTGCCCATTCAGCAATTGTCACTGGGTATAGATTGTGTGCAGGCTTTGTATGAGAAACGCCAGTATGTTCCTGCCCTCTGGAGACTAAAGTCTGGTGTGGCTCACAAGGTGCTAATTCAAAGAGGGTGATAAACTAGGCAAGGTCCCCAAAATGCTTAACAATGAAAGGAGACGCTCTTGGGAAAACATTTCCTTTCACACGTGGCTTGTGGGGTGCATTTTGCTTTCATTTTTTGTTTTAGAGACAGAGTCTCTGTCACCCAGACTAGAATGCAGTATCATGATCATGGCTCACTGCAGCCTTGAACTCCTGGGCTCAAGTGATCATCTTACCTCAGCCTCCTGAGTAGCTGAGACTACAGGTGCATGACGCCACACCAAGCTAACTTTTAAAGTATTTTTTGGTAGAGATGAGGTCTCATTATGTTGCCCAGGCTGTTCTCAAACTCCTGGGCCCAAGCTACCCTGTCACCTCACCCTTCCAAAGTACTGGGATTACAGGTGTGAGACACCACACCTGCCGGCGCCTTTTGAGTAACACTGTTGTGAAGTGAGGAAGACTAAGTAGAAACTTGGTACCATTAAGGTAAGAACTAGCACCTGTCAAGCAGGTTACACGGGCCATTTCTCACCACCATCCATTTCTCACCACCACCATTTCCAGAGCTGGACATACTTTCATTTCACAGGTAAGGGGACTAGAATTCAGAGCACTTAAGTGACCAGTCCTAGGCCATCTGTTTTGCTTGGTAACAAGGACGGCCAGGACTGGCATCCAAGTCTGTTTGGGTGCAACACCACAGTTCTTCCATTTTCTTTCCCCATCTCTCTCCCTGAAAAGTCTATGTCTTGGGTTAAAGAAACCTCAAGTCTAGTCCTGACCTGTCTGCTAATTATCCCAGCAACCCTGACCCCCTCAAATTCTCAGAGTTTGAATCTCTAAACAGAAAGAGTTAAAAGGTCTGTGCTTACAGTATGTTGCTAAGACAGAATAAGTAAAGTATGTTCTGCTGCTTTGAAACATACACAATATGTACAGTGCTATCTGCATTCCAGGCATCAAATATTATTTGCTGAAGCAGTTCAAAGGGTTGGCTGAATTTGATTCAGCTGGATCCAACATGTGGACATTATGCTTAGCCTCCTTGAGGGCAGCTGTGCTACTCGTGTCCTGTTGCAACAAAATGGCCAATGTTTCTTCAAGATCCCCACCGAGGAGGTGCTCCTAATGGCTGCACCTGAGAATGACCTCAGTCCTCAGAACCACTTGTTAAAGGATTTTTTTTAAAAGAGTGGCAACACCTGAAATCTCATTTATCACTGTCTCTGCCTCCTGGCGATAATGCCACCTACACACTGAAGAATGATGACAAAAATAACACAACAAACCGTGGAAAGAATGTAAAAGGAGCCCTCTGTGCTGAAGGCAGAGATTACTGACCTATTTGTAATAATTTTAGATGGCACTCTGATCAGGAAGATGGTGGTTTTGTAAACACAGAGGGCTTTTACATCACCCTTATACGGGGAGCCCTTCTTTCCTCTGGAATCCAGACTGACAAGCGGCACATTCATTGGTCTAAGGGAGGACTATGGGTGCTGTAGTTTTTTCCTTTGGTTTTATAGAAATGTTTTATTGGATTGGAATTAACAGATTGGAATTCTGTGGCTGTGGTGGAGTCCTTCAGCACCATAAATTCGTAAATCTGACCCCAAGAGACCCAATAACCAGTGCTTCCTGTTAGCTTTGGTGGAGATTGGGGAGAGGTGGCAGCAGCCCTGAAGGGAGCCAAGAGGGAAAGAAAAGGCAGGCGAGGGCCAAGGCCTGTTTCAGGGAACAGGCAAGGAGTTCCAAAGGTACGAAAGAGCTGGGGACTGGGCTCGGAGGAGTAGAGTTGACAGGTTCCTCCTTGGGGACCCTGTAAGGGCAGCAGCCCTGGAGTGCTCCCTGCCTGGCCTCTGTCCTCCATAAGCCCAGGAAACAAAGGGCAGGCTAGCTCCCGGGGATCACACCCAGCTGAGCCTTGGGGCATCAGAGCCCAGGGGCCTCAGCAGGGACCATCCCCTGCTTTAAATCGGCTGTACATGCTCTTCAGCCTTTCATGTGACAGGGTTGACCAGCAGGGCACGGGCATAGTCATCAATATTTGCTAGAGCCGCAGGGCCATTGTGACAAATGCACAAGGCCAGGTTCACAGGCACAAATCATGTGAAAGCAAATTCATCTTTCTTCTGACAGGGCCACTAGACTGGTAGGTCAAGGAAATGCTGAAACCACAGTGGTGGCATCTGGCACAGTCTCTCGTGATGATATCCTTGTGTACAGAATAAAGGCATATGGGCTAGAGGTGGTTGGGGTGGCCATTCCCTGGCAGGTCCGGGGAATACACCCAACAAGGCTGGTCTCAGCTATGACTAGCAGGGGCTTGCGCAGACACTTCTGGTGCTGAGCTGTGAGTCCTAACTGTGCCCTGCTTAATGGTAAACCATACGTTTTGAAGGACAGTCAGGATCAAGAGCTGAAAAGGCCTCACAGCACAAGTTAGAAGAACAGGCTGAGCAAGACGGAAGGCCATTTTATTTTCTAATTTTTATTTATTTTTTTATTGTATATCTTTAAGGCATGCATCATGATGTTGATAGATGTATGTACAATGAAGTGACTGCCACAGTCAAGCAAGTTAACATATCTGTTGTCTCATGTCATCACCGTCGTTTGCAATAAAAGTACCTAAAATCGACTCTCTTCCCAAATATCCAGTATGTAATACAATATTATGACCTATGGTCCTCATATTGTATTAGAATGTCATTTAAAAGCTTAAATAAAAAGGCTCTTCACTTGGGCTCTAAGAATTAACTGCACAAGTACCCCAACGGTGCCAAGGGGCTTAGCAGCCCCTCAGTGAGGATGATGAGAATCCTAAGCGTAGGACAGGACGTGGCTTTCATATGTTTGCTCTGTCCATCTTTGGCTACGTCTTGGTGGAATATTTCCTAGAATGCTGAATTGTGTTTCTCTTCTCTGGGCTAGGGCAACTGCTTTTGGAGTATTGGCATTCAGTTTTGGGCATCACATTTAAGAAGACAAGGACAGAATACACCCAAAGCACAGGGATCAGACTGCAAAAGGCCTTGACACTGCCCCCAGAAGAATGACAGAGACCCTAGAGGGTTCACAGCTACCATCGACTCTGAAGACCAAGGAAAGCAGGGCAAAGCTTGTGTTGTAAGACTACAAGGGCAGAAGAAAGGTAGCAACTAAGAAATTATCCAGCATTCAGAGCTGTCCAAAGGCAGAGTGGGCTGTCCTGGGAAGCAGTGAGATCTCATCACTCAGGAGCTTGGACATAAACTAGGCCTGCACTTGCTGCATGTGGAAACAGTGCTTCGAGTCTTTCAGGGCTGGTTTGTCTGGGCTGTTCCTCTAAACCCGGGAAATCTGTGAGTCCATGACAAATTAGGAAACCAAGGATCTAACCTTAGCTTTGCCACAAACTACCTTAGTCATCTTAAGCAGAACATTCCAATCCTCTGCATCTTATTTTTATCCTCTGCTCAAATAGGAAGCTGGACAGGATTCCCACCAACATTACATTAATTCGTATATTCTACTACCTTTATCACCATGTGCTGTGATCTCTGCAAAGTGCTGATAGTTCATGATCTCCTCCTTCTTTCATAGACATCAAGAAAGGGGTTTAGGAGATAATGTCTTAACTGCCATTGTGGGATCTGCACCCAAGATCCCGCCGATTTTTGGACATTGGCCTCTTTTTATTTGGTTTTCTCTTCTGTATTTTGAGGTCAATTGAAGCAGACTGGGAGGACAGCCAAATTAGGAGCACCCCCTTCTCCTTGGGGGATACATCCCAAGACCCCCAGTGGATGCTTGAAACCACAGATAGCATTGGACCCTATATATTCTACATTCTTTGTTTTTCCTATATGTATATACCTATGATAAAGTTCAGTTGATCAACTAGGCATGATAAGAGGTTAACAAGAATAACTAGTAATAAAATAGTTATAACAATAAACTGTAATATTATTACACATTATTACGTATGTGAATGCGGTCCCCCTCTCAAAAATACAGGCATACCTCAGTTACATCGCTGGTTCCATTTCAGACCACTGCAGCATAGTGAATATCACAGTAAAATGAGTCACACAAACTTTTGGTTTCTCAGTGTGTATAAAATGTTTACACTGCACTGTAGTCTATTAAGTGTGCAATAGCATTATGTCTAAAAATGTATATGTTAATTAAAAATACTTTTTATTGCTAAAAAAATATGCTGATTATCTGAGCCTTCAGTGAGTCACAGTCTTTTTGCTGGTGGAGGGTCTTGCCTCTCTGTTGTTGGCTGCTGACTGATCAAGGTGGTGGTTGGGGTGGCTGTAGCATATTTTAAAATAAGACAACAATGAAGTTTGCCTCAGCAACTGACTCTTCCTTACATTAAAGATTTCTCTGTAGCACATGATGCTGTTTGATAGCATTTTATCCACACTAGAACTTCTTTCAAAACTGAGGTCAATTCTTCCAAGCCCTGCCATGGTTTTCTCTACTGAATTGATGTAAAATTCTAAATCCTTTGGTGTCATTTTAACAATGTTCACAGCATCTTCACCAAGAGTAGCTTCCACCTCAAGAAACCATGTTCTTTGCTCATCTATAGAAGTAACTCCTATCCATTCACATTGGATCATGAGACTGTAGCAATTCAGTCACATCTTCAAGCTCCACTTCAAATTCCAGCTCTTGTGCTGTTTCTACTGCATCTGCAGTGACTTCCCCTACTGACGTCTTGAACCCCCTCAAAGTCATCCATGAAGGTTGGAATCAACTTCTTCCAAACTCATGTTCATGTTGATATTTGGACCTCCTCCCATCAATCACAAATATTCTAAATGGCATTTAGAATACTGAATCCTTTCCAGAAGGTTTTTAATTTACTTTTCCCACATCCATGAAAGAAATCACCATCTATGATAGCTATAGCCTTATGAAATGTATTTCTTAAATAATGAGGCTTAAGAGTAGAAATTACTACTTGATCCAGGGACTGCAGAATGGTTGTTGTGTTAGCAGGCATGAAATCAGTGTATTAATGTCCTTGCACATCCCCATCAGAGCTCTTGAGTGCATAGGTGCCTTGTGAATGAGCAGTGATATTTTAAAAGAAGTTTGTTTTTTTTCTGAGCAGTAGTTCTCAACTGTGAGCTTAAAATATTCAGTAAATCTTACTACAAGCAGATGTGCTATCATCCAGGCTTTATTGTTCCATTGATAGAACACAGGCAGAACAGATTTAGCATAATTCTTAAGAGTCCTAGGATTTTCAAAATGGTAAATGAGTGTTGGCTTCAACTTCAAGTCACCAGCTGCATTAGCTCCTAGCAAGAGAGTCAGTCTGCCCTTTGAAGCTTTGAAGCCAAGCATTGACTTCCTCTGTTCTAGCTATGAAAGTCCTAGATGGCATTTTCCTCCAATAGGAGGCTGTTTCATCTGCATTGAAAATTTATTGTTTAGGGTATCTTCCATCATCAATGCTCTTAGCTAGACCTTCTGGAAAATTCGCTGCAGCTCCTCCATCAGGACTTGCTGCTTCACCCTACACTTTTATGTTATGGAGATGGCTTCTTTCCTCAAACTCTGCTAGCTTCCAACTTTTTTTCTGCCAACCTCTCTCAGCCTGCATGCGATTGAAGACAGTTAGGGCCTTGCCCTGGATTAGGCTTTGGCTTAAGGGAATGTTGTTAATGATTTGATCTTCTATCCAGACCATTTCAGATTCCTCCATATCAGCAATAAGGCTGTTTCACTTTCTTGCCATTCATGTATTCACTAAGTAGCATTTAATTTTTTAAAGAGTTTTTCTTTGAATTAACAATTTGGATAACTGCCTGGTGCAAGGGATCTAGCTTTTGGCCTCTCTTGGTTTTTGATGTGCTTTCCTCACCAAGCTTAATCATTTATAGCTTTTTTTTTTTTCCCCATTTATTTATGTTATTGCATTTTAGGTTTTGGGGTACATGTGAAGAACATGCAAAATTGTTGCATAGGAACACACGTGGCAGTGTGATTTGCTGCCTTCCTCCCCATCACCTACATCTGGCATTTCCCCCCAACTGACCCCAGTGTGTAGTGCTCCCCTCCCTGTGTCCATGTGCTCTCATCGTTCAACACCCGCCTATGAGTGAGAGCATGCGGTGTTTGATCTTCTGCTCCTCTGTCAGTTTGCTGAGAATGATGGTTTCCAGGTTCATCCATGTCCCCACAAAGGACCCAAACTCATCGTTTTTTATGGCTGCATAATATTCCATGGTGTATATGTGCCACATTTTCCCTATCCAGTCTATCATCGATGGGCATTTGGGTTGGTTTTTATTTAAAGCGAGAGACATGGGATTCTTCCTTTCGCTTGAACACTTAGAGGTCATTGAAGGGTTACAAAGTGTCCTAATTTCAAAATTGTGTTTCAGGGAAGAGGGAGGACTGAAAGGTGGGAGAGAAATGGGGAAAGAGCTGGTTGGTGGAACAATCAGAATGCACACATATACTGGTTAAGTTCCCTGTCCTCAATAGTTGTGGTTTGTGGTGCCCCACCCAAAAATTATAATAGCAACATCAAAAATCACTTGGTCGCAGATTACCATGACAGATATGATGAAAAAGCTTGGAATATTGCAAGAGTTACCAAACTGTGACAGGGAGACAGAAAGTGGGCACATCCTGTTGGAAACATGGCGCAGATAGGCTTGCCTGGCTCAGCGTTCCCACACACCTTCAATTTGTGAAAAACGCAATAGATGCAAAGTGTGATCATGTGAAGCATGAAGGAACAAGGTGTGCCTTTCCTGTGATACTTTCAAATAGCGATGACCTCAGGTGGCTGAAATCTCAGTAAGTGAAGCCGTGGATGAGGGGCTACTGTAATTTTTTTTTTTTTTTGAGATGGAGTCTCACTCTCTCGCCCAGTCTAGAGTGCAATGGCATGATCTCAGCTCACTGCACCCTCCACCTCTGGGGTTTAAGCAATTCTCCTGCCTCAGCATTCAGAATAGCTGGGATTATAGGAGCACACCACCATGCACGGCAAACTTTTGTAACTTTTAGTAGAGACAGGGTTTCACCATCGTTGACCAGGCTGGTCTCAAACTCCTGAGCTCAAATGGTCTGCCTGCCTTGGCCTCCCAAAGTGCTAGGATTACAGGTGTTAGCCACCGCACCTGGCTGCTACTGTAATTTTTACTGTAATGGAGAGGCCGTGGTTCTAGAAAGCGTTGGTAAGGCTTATGTCAGTAGGGAAATAAGTAAAAATGATTCTAAGAATATTTTAAGAAGTTATTCTAATTTGTTTGAGTGTTTAATTCTTCTTTCCTGTTGTTTTTCTTCCCTGCGAAGGCATTAACGATCGTTTATGTGAAGGGTTATAGTTTCCGCTCTATTTGGTGGGTTATTTCAATGCTCACATCTGAGCATTGAACCCATTCCCTTATGCTGATTACTGTCTTGCAAAGGAAGCTGGCAGCCACCAGTGATGGGCAGCCTGTCCCTTGGGGCCATTTCCTTTTGATGGGCAATGCTAAATTGAGCCAGAAATATAAGTTTGGAAGAAGTAATCAGGGCTGACATTCAGGAGATTTAAAGCTCAATGGAGGTCAAAGAAAAAGCACAATTTGGAGGCCCAGCTATTGGGATGGGCAGTGGGAGGCAGTCTGAATATGTGTGTCCATGTGTCTGTGCATGTTCATGTGTGCGTATGCATGTATGTGTGTGTGTTGGGGGTGGCACTCCTGTGGTAGTTTTTATGTGTTCCCAGTGTACTTCTTGGGTGAGCTGCCTTCTCTTAGAGAGTCTGGGCCAGGTCCACCCCCAAGTGGGTGTTGGTTCAGCTGGTGACGGCATTGTGTAGATGAGGCTGAAGACAAACATGTCAGCCCTGCAGAACCTCTGCCATCAATTTGCTGCAAAACTCAGCTTCTTTCTAAGAATGCCAGCTCCATGAGAATTAGGAATGAAATAAGCAATTGCAAAAGGCACTTTATATGCAATTCCCCAGACAAGCAAAACACTCAGAACCAGCTGTACAAGATTGTGCTCTTTGATCAAACACAAACACTACAAAAGCTGATGAAACTGGTAACAGAATTGAAAGTTTTCTTGATCTGTAAGAAGTCAAGTTTGGTTTTTTTTTGGTTGCTGACATCAGTACCAGGGATACCATGAAGAATACTTTAAACAAGACCCTTTTGGGTGAGGGAAGAGAAGGATATCCAGTCATAAAAATTTCCGTTCTTTCCCCAATAACCCGTCATCCTCCTGGTCCTAAGTGTTCCATAAAAGCCATCTTTTGAAGACTGTCATCCCAATGGAAGAGCCATCTGAGATGACACCAGTTTCCAGCAGCTCCGGAGATGCTACCCAGAGGGTGCAAAGAAAGCAGGTGGCTTCCATCAGCATGGAGCCCTGAGGCAGAGAGGTTCACATATGGTGTCTCAACTGTTAGTGCTTTTTGTACT